ATTTTGTCTCAGGTTCAACTGTGTGCTTTTCACAGGGCTGAATGTTTTGGTGGATCAGACTTTGAATGTTCTAGAGCAGTTCCTTGGAGCAGAGCAGCAGTGTTAATGCTGACTCCTGCAGAGGCACAATTACCATCAGAATTCAGGAAGTCCTTTAACACGTCATAGTAACTGACAAAACCAACTCCATTCTTCAGGACCAGGACTAGTACCAACTTGCTGGTGCATCATTATTTGTACAGCATTCATGGGTTTCTATTGGCTAATGATGTATGTGACAGTGTGAGTTAATCACACAAAATTTGTGCTGCTTTTTTAACCCTCTGTTGTCTGCTGTTTAGACTGGCTTTTAGTTTAGAGTGGCTTTTTACAGTTTGTGTCTGTGTATGTTACACTTTGTGAACTTCTCTGCTAACTGAGCTGTGAGTAAACAGACTCAGTGTTCTCTCTGACCCCAGATGAATCTTTTGAGTCCCAGATAAAAAGATGACTTCAGAGATAAAGTTGAGTTTCTTACCGACTGCGCCTCCATCAGAGTTTTTGAATGCTCTCCTTTTGTCATTGCATCCAGAAGATTGTCTGCCATTTTGTACACATACTCATCAGATTTGTCCAGGAAGTCCGACAAGCTGTTACAGGCAGACACACACACAGACACATTTTCTTCTCCAAACAAGAGCTAACAATCAGAAGCAGGAATAATGAGAAGTCAATAATAACACTGGTGACACTGAACCTCCTACGCTCTGAGGAGCAGATGTTCATTTGACAACAGCTTTGTGACTAAAAGACTGAGAGGAAAACACAGCAGATACAAAAGCCAGTGAAGGAGCAACAACAGTTTCTGTCAGTCAGTCACGCACACACTTAAAAATAAGATTTTGGTTAAAAAAAAAAAAAAGAAGCTTTTACATAAGTTAGAACATGTTCAGCACAGATTATGAACAGCCTTCTTTACTGAGTCGTTTAACTTTTTCAACACACACACACACACCTCTGCCAGCAGTCACTTTTTAACTCAAACTCCAGCCTAGACTAATATTTAGGAAACATAAATAAAGCCCATGTTTATGTAAAAGTAGAAAAAAAACTACTTTATTATGTTTGTTTACTTCCTTAAAGTTTCATTTTTACAGTCTCAATTGCAAAATGTCATATACTGTATATATAAAATCTACAATCTGATATTTTATGACTAACTAATCTAAGAATTAAGTAAGAATAATTATAAAAAAATAACTTCCACCACTCCTGTTATAAGATGCTTATCTATATGCAATGAGGCAACAACATGACTAAATTGTCTGACTTTGTGTCAATAGGTTGTCACAGACCTGACTCTCATCCACGACGACTCTCACCTTATTAAAAAAGGTCCTAGTTTGGACCACAGTCATGGCCATAGAGTTGAGGCCTACGTATGAACTAAAGCAACCAACCTCCTCCCCAGTGAGGACACTGTAACCCAGGAATGTCTGAACAATACAGAGCTGTGATCATTGGTGGACACACTGTACAGACCTGTCTGATCCCTGCAGGCTGGACTCTTCTCCGTAAAAGGAGTAGACGAGGTCGGACTCATCTTTGCTGATGTTGGAGAAGCTGGAGTCGTAAGTGGGGGCGTAGGAGGTGAACGGCCCGTAGTTCATGTAGGACACTGTAAAAGTGTTTCACACACAGAAGAGAGATGGTTACCAGTGAACGCACTGTGTGAAGTATTCACAAGTGATGCCATCGGTGTAGAGAACCTGGAGTGATTCTGTTCCTCTTGTCCTCTCTAAAGATCTGCAGAGAGTTCACACCAGTCTGTAGCCGAGTGGACATCATTCCCAGCTTCACAGGACAGTAGCCAACATCTGGAAGAAGACATTAATACTGGCTATAAAACAGTTTACACCTCCAGTTCATTTTAAATAATAAATGTTTAAAGCCTTAAAGCTTATTTTTTTGGCTGGACTCACCTCCTGCTGACAGCTCAGCTGGGTTGAGAATTGCCAAAGTAGTGGAGCCGTCAGACTTTTGCCTCGTAAATCCCAGCTAGATAAAAATTAAATGTCATTAAAGTCAAATGATAAAAACAACATTTAGAATCAGTCTGTACACAGTGACGAATGATGCCATTAGTTAAACATTTCAAATAAACTGAAGCTGTGTCAAATACTAATAAAGCAGTATCTTTATCTCTAGTGTTTTCCTGCTCCCTCACTTCATCCTGCAGGAGTCTGTTTGACAGCTTTCCTCCAGAGTCCTTGATGACCTTCCGGATATCCTCCAGCTCCTTCTCTGCCTTTGACGCTTCGTCCTTGGAGTCTTTGTCCTGTCTGGAGACCAAACCAAGTTGAAGTCAGTAAAAGAGACACTCTGGCCTTGAAAAATTGTTTTCCACCTTTTTTTTTTTTTACATGAATGCAATAAAGTTCTGTAGAGAGAATTGTTTGGAACAATCTAATGTGAACATTTCATTCTTTTCATCAACATTTCAAATGCTCCGTGTTTGTGGGACAGTGACGACAGCAAGGTGCTGAAAAGACAAACAGCAGAGTGAAGATGTTTGTTTGTCTGCTCCCGGTTCAACAGTGAGTCACAACACACACATGATTTTAATCATCAGGTTCTATTACAGCACCAGCAACATCACACTGACTAAACAGATGCACAACCATGAGAGGAAACAAGACCCAGCATGCTCTAAGGCATTCCACTCATTCTGCATCTCCAGCCTCACAGTGGAAAACCAAATGACGTTATTGTCAAAGTAGAACGTGAAACTGTGTGATAAAGAAGTGGGAACCTAGTTGACATAAATCTACAGTTGTCACCAACAAACTCTAAGCTATTAATACTAGTAATAACCATTTTCTTGTGATGACCTGAGACTTTTTAAAAGAAGAAATCTCTGGTCTAATCAGATACAAATTAGTTTGGCTTCTCAATAGATGTGTCTGAGAAGCTTTGAAAGAACTTTTATAGGTCACAATAAAGACTTCTGTGACTGTGAATAAAAATGATTTTAAAGGGTGAAGACTGATGGGACTGAAGCCAACCTCAACTAACGTCAGAGAAATCAAAATCAAAGACTAGACTGAGCTGCGTGAAAGGAGAGTCAACAGCATGTACTAAGAAGAAACACAGAAAACGGAAGAAGGTGACAAACAGCACTCAAACATGAATGTCAGAAAGGAAGTCATTAGGTAAAATGACCTGGATGTACTCGGTGTCTCTGAGCTGGTGTCTAGTTTGATGAGTCCCTCACTCTTCTGGTCCAGACTGCTTCTTCTTTGCTCTCCAGACTTCCCTGGTGGGTCAGTAGACAGATCCAGTCCAGACATAAAAGAGATGCTCTGCTTCAGACTCTCGAGTCTCTCCTGTAAAAATAACATTTTTATAAAAAAAAAATTCTGATGTATGTAAAGAAAAATAGATCAAGAAAAGTAAAATTGGTCTTTAATACGTAAACGGAGTTCAAGAAAATATCGAGGAACAATTTAAGGGTATCTGCTGCCCCCATGTGCTGCATTAATGTCGGTGCAAGTTTGCTATCAGAAAAGTGGGAAATTGTCAGTTAAAAGTTAAAAGACTGTGGCAAAAACAGCAAATATACAACTAAACATCAGCTGAAATATTTGTCTTCCAGTAAAGGTGCAAAACTGGTTAAGCTGTAGATGTCTTTTTGAAAATGTGTATGGCCTACACTGCCCATGACTGAATGGAGTCTGAATGTCCTACTCTTCAACAATTACTATTTATATTTAACGATTTAGTGCACCTAAAGCACCAAATTACTTCACCCTGGTAAACTTTGTATTTGTTGACAATAAATAAAAAGTTTTAATGACCTTACAGGTAGAATTAATTTTTTTTGAATACCTGGCTCAGAATTTTCATTCCAGAGTGCAACAGTTTGCGTGCAGCTTTGTGGTAAATAGTCTCCGGTTTGTTGTAAATCATGGCGTTTTCACACATTATCCTAAAATCCACCTGCAGGAAAAAATACATAACACTAAATGTGAAAAGACTTGAAAAGAGATACAGTATTTATTATTAGAAAACTAAAGCACATAGTTTAATGGTTATTTCAATAAACTTTTAACTCACAATACAACAGAAATGCAGCTAAAATACCTTGAGTTCATCCAATGACTGGTAGAACTCTTTCTTTACTTTGTCCTTCATTGTACTGAAGTCCATTGGACGCTTGATAATTGAGGAATAGCCTGGAGCGATGAGGTCTGTCACAGGAAATGAGAAGAATGCACTTGGGTCTTTCCTATAAAAAAAAAGGACATGGTCAGTAATTACTATACACAACAATATATACAACTATTAATCAGTGCTTTTGTGAAAGTTTTCTTCACATTTTTCCATATTATAATTTCCATTTGGATTAGTCACAAATTAAAGCAGGTGTAAAACACACATCTTTGTTTCAGTAATATACAGAAAAAAACTATCATTGAGGAATTTTTACCTCATTTCACCTTGATTATTAATAAAACATGATTACTTGACAGCTAAGCTGTGATTAATCTAATAAAAAATTAAACTGATTAATTCTAATATTAATATATTATGACCAACATACCTTTGGAGCTGCCTGATGAGCTGGTACAGAGCTTCCTGCAGGGGAGTCTGCTCTTTCTCTGCTAAATAGAAATGTATATTGGTGAGAAAAATGTAAGAAACAATGTTGGCATCATACATTAAACTCCTGTCTCCAAAGGTTAAAACGAACCCTCCAGTTTATCCAGCTCCGAGCGGATGGGAGTTCTGCATTGTTCTCTGTCGTCCTCTCCATCTCCATCGTGTCCTTTCTTTTTTTTTGTCATCTAAAATACCAGAAAACAACTCATACTTTTTGGGGAAAAAAAGTAAATTACCCAGAATGCCTCCATTCCTCCACTGACATCATCTGCAGCGGTCTTACCTTCTTCTTTCCCTTGTCGTCCTCAGGTGAGCCAAAGCTCCTTTCTTTATCTTTCTTCTTTTTCTTTTTCTTGTCTTTAGGTTTGTCGTGGTCTGTCGACTGCTCGTCGTAAAACGTATCCAGACTTGAGCTTCCGGTAGTCACTTCGTTTCCAGACACTTTTAGCACTAGCTTTAGTGGCCTCTCTGCAAACATCACTTGAAGGGTTAATCAATGAAGTCCTATACTAATATTTTTAAAATGTTTTTATTTCAATTTTGATCCCAATACTGGTAAGTAAACGGCAAACGATCACCTAATTTATGCAGATATGACCCAATTCTGTTGTGGTGATGTTGAGTTATATATATATATATATATATATATATATATATATATGTTGATATCTTAGCTTTACAAATGTTGCTAATGTTTCTCATCACAAGTAGTTCTTCATCAACAACAACAACAACTAAAATTAAGTCTGAAGGAAGAGTTATTAGTCTAACCGCAGAGAAACAAAAACCACTGACGGTTCCTGGAGGCAGAATCCGTTCACTGCTCATAACCGTAAAACCATATAGCAGAAGCTTCTGTAAATTAAAGACCATAGTAGTAAGGCTCAGTAGTTTGAGCACTGACAGAAGCCCTCGAATCAAGCAACGCTATAGTTAGCTTAGCACTGCATATGCTAACTAAGCCATTACAGCTACAAAAAGCGCAAAACAAAAACTATTTTTTCAACATTACCAAAACAACGAGCAGGCAAATACTCGTATCAATAAAACAAAGTGTGTGAAATAAAATACCTTCATATCCATGTTTTTCGGACTTGTGTTTTTTATGCTTCTTGCCCATTGTTTGCATTTATGATAAAATGACCGGTAACGGTCTGATCTCGGTGGTCGCGGAAGCGATTCAGAGGAAAGGGCTCCCTCAACAAACAGTGCCTCCTCTCGGAGTGGCGGTGTCTTAGCGTGATGTCAGTATATCTATTCACCAGAGGGAGGCATTACAAGACTAACAGTTTATTCTGTGGTTCTAATGATTTTATTATAAGACATTGACAACTCATCACGTTCTACATGGCAGTTTTACTTCAGGGTTTTAGTGTATAAATTATATTTGTATGTTGTCTTTCTCATTCAACTCAGTATTTAATTTGTCAAACTTTTGGGTTTATTTCTAGGTTTTAATTATTCCTGGTGTCACCTTTGCTGACTTTTTTGCACTGTAACTGTTGTGTGTTTTTTTTTTCAGCAAGAAGCTTGCCTGTTCAGTGGTTCCATTTTTTAGGTTTAAAGGGTTTAAATGTGAGTGTGAATGATTGTTTGTCTCTGTATGTGGTCCTGTATGGACTGCTGATCTTCTTAGTTGTGCCACGCCTTCACCTGTTGACTGCTGGGATTGGCTGTTGCTCCACCCACTACTGCACTGTATTCTTTTCTCTCTTTTCTCAGTCATATTTCTATTCTTAGCTCCAGTAAGCATCTTTTTTTAAATACAGTCAAAAAACGCCATCTGTTAGTTCATCATCAGTAGACAGGCACATGGGACAAGGTGAAGACAGTACCTGATGATGAGACAGGTGGAGACTGAATTCATAGCATGGTATTTTACAGTCCCCAATGTTTTTAACAGCTGTGTTTGAAACATGCCCCATGTGACCAAAACTCGCGTTTATTGTTACTGCATCTTTTTATGTATTTATTTAAATATATTTGACATACACATTTGAAAGATGGAAAAGACACAGAACTGTTTTCCTTCAGTTATTCAATGAGACTTGAATTAAGGAAATGTTAAACATTGAGGAATTTCTCCTTTCTTATTACAAATTTACACTTTTCATACCAAATTACCACTGAGTGCTATCCCAGATGCTAAACAGTTTAACAGGTGGACTAACTGGAAGAAGATCACGAAGCCTCAGGGCTATTGCAGCCTTAACAGTGGAGAACTTTCCACTTGTTTATGGACCCAGTCACTCTGGTCCAACAGTTTAACATTCACACTGATATAAAACAGTGAAACTCTGGCTGTCCCTCAGGAAAGAACAGCTTTACAGTGTTGTTTAGATTTACAGGAAAAAATGCAGCGACAGGATCGAATCAAAGGTCATATGACTTTGAGTTCTTCACAATATCATGGTTTTTATCAGAGAAACTGTTTTCTAGGAATGTTATCACCATAAGACACCGTTCTCTCTGCCATGTGTCCTGCAGTTTACAGGCCACACACAAGACTATTCAGCAGGTGGAAGTGTTTCCATACTAAAACCAATAGAGAGAAGGAAGGAATGTCTGACCTGTTTCTACTGGTTAATAACAAACAGAGTATGTATTACAGTAGAAAACACAGTCTCTGTCTGTGTGATTATTCTTTAAAAGTGGATTTGTAATTGTTGGTGTCAATAATTCATAAAAGTTTCCAAGAAAAATATTTTTAATGCTTTTGATGTAAGAATCAATGGTAAAAGGTGATAATAATTTGGCAGACTTTTGCATTAGATCAGTGATTCCCAGTTCCCACACTGTGCCGTGCCACATTAGTGTGCCGTAAGATATTATTAAGTATGCCGTGGAAAATGATCAAATTTCAATTAATTGCTCTGAAAACTATTATTTATTTATTGCAAATAACTATTCTTTGATCGTCAATGCATGACAGGCAGAACAATGAAATACTCTTTGTTATGTGGCAGCAGACAGCTATGAAAACTAAAAAAAAAAAATCAAAGCTGTTGAGATCCTTGTGTCATTTTTAGTAAATTTTAACCAGAATATTATTATATTTCAATACATACAGTATACTTTTTGTGAGGTTTTTATTTGGTGGTATGCCGTGGGATTTTTCCTGATGATATACTGTACATGTGCTGTGGCACAAAAATGGTTGGGAAACACTGCAATAGATGACCTTCCTGACACAATCTCCCAACCTAATGCCTTTGTGGCGGCAGAGTTCCTACCACAGCATTTATGTAATTAAATATAATCTTGAAAATAAATAGCCTATTCTTCCTGTGTATTTTGGGGGAGGTTTATAGGTACTGTAGTTTCTTCACCGTCTCTTCAAGTCTAAAAACATGCAGGTTTAGGTTAATTGTTCGCTCTACATTGACCTGAGGATGAATGTGAATGGTGTGTTTGAATGTGGCCTTGTGTTGGACTGATAGAGGAGGTTTGAATAAACTATCACTCCTTTTTTTGTAACTGACTGGTTCAACTAAAGTAAACATCTAGTAGTTGCTTTCTTTTAAGAATGTGAAGATCCATATCTGTGATTATACAAAAAAAGTCTCGATTACAGGCAGCAAAGAGCGGTGGTCAAAGGTGTGGAGGAGCCCCAGGAGAGGACATCTCACTTCCAGCCTCAGAGGCGGCTGCAGCCCCACAGAGGCCATGGGATCCATCTGCTACCTTCCAGCTGTGGAGCTGCACGCACGTTGGAAGTGAGTGGATTAAAAGATCACTTACACCAAACAGACCTAACAAATGGCAGATGTCGTGAAATTCATTATAGTATGTCACAACAAAAGGCCTAAAACAGCCCAGAGAGCATTTCCACATAAAAGTAGAATCCCAGCAGAACCATGGGAAACCACTTCTCACTCTGTGGACCGGGTGAACTGGGCTGGTCTGATCTCGACACACATGCAGAAAAACATCCATCCATCCATCCATCCATTTTCATCCGCTTATCCGTTACCGGGTCGCAGGGGCAGCAGTCGCCACCCAGGTCACACTGCACCGTACCAACCGCCCTAAACCTTCCTGCAGGTGGTGAGTCCACTGGAAGGGACCAACCGCCCTAACCGAGATTTGAACTTGCCCAGGAGGTGAACCCTGGGGTTCCAGGCCAATGACAGAGACATTGCCTCTGGGCCAAAGCGCCACATGCCGAAAAACAGACATGTTGAATAGGGTTTGAACCATGTATCTGCGTTACACATGGTCTGACTTGAAGCAGCTCTGAAGGCAGTGTGTGTTGTTTAGAGAGTGAGACAGACAATTGAGATCTACTACTGTTCACAGTCAAGAAATGTTAGTAACATGGTTTGGTTGAAAAAAACAAACAAAAAAACTTAGGCTTGGATGGATTATTAAGGCCATCAATTTGTTAAAAATCATCAGGAGTAGGGATATCCAATTGGCCAACCGATGTTATTGGCCGATATTGGCATAATTATGTGATATCGGTAAGCATTGTTATAGTTTTTTCCTCTAATAATGAAAACCCTGTTCCATAGAATCTGGACCAATCCCTACAGGACTGCAAAGGTGCAGTGGTAGAACGCTCACCTAGGAGAAGTAAAGGTAACTCTAATGATTAAAGTTAGTCCTCACTACTAATGGGGACATTGTATCATGGTGACCATGGCCTACAGTCTCAAAGTGTCCAATTTTATATTAGACTCCCACTGTGTCGACCCTTGGTGAAGGAAAATTGCCTGATTAGTGGGCATCATGTATGGAGGTGAGGGGCATTTGTCACGTTGAAACTCGTTGCAGGAAACTGTCAAAAGAAAAAAAAGCTCTTTTTGTGAGGGAAAACTTTGTGCTAAAGTAAGCCGTTTTTTCTTCAAAAGTGTTCTGTTTTCACCAATGTTGCATCTCAGTGACCACACATTTTGTAATGAAATCTCCTTGAAATCTCTACCATGTCCAAATGTTAGCTATAGGTGTTGTTATAACGACTCAAATACTGTGTTGTATAATGAATCCGGTTTGTGTAATATGTGTGTAGTTTGACGTCAACCTCTCCTTTATGGAAAGTAATGCATTATTCCGTTCAGGAGACGGTAATATAATGATAGATGATCTTTTTAGGGGGGTTGGAGAAAATCTGATGTTTGACTCCACAGGGGTGTTTGTGGGTGCATGTATTAATCCCAGAATTCTTATATGCATCATATGTTTGCCAGTGCATCTGTGAGTGTGTGTGACAGGACAAGCCAGGTGGTTGGTAGAGCTGGAGAAAAAGGGGGTCGACTGCTGATTTTCTGTGGATCTGAGACTTTATTCTCCCCGAGCCTCTGAAGACAGCGGTCCTGGGGTGGGGAAAACACACAAGGGAGATGTGTTCAAAGCCTGCAGCCTGGTGACGATCTTCTGTCAGATCCTCAGTTTTTTGAAAAGTTCACATAAACTGGAAGAAAGACAGCCACTGGGAAATGGTCTCTGCAAACTCAATGAGAGTTTATCATCTCAGCACAGGAAGTGGCGCTGTTTGAGGCTGTAACACGCTGCCTGTAATCTCATTCTTCCTCATAGGTTTATCAGGGAACATTTCTTCTACTGAAGACACTGTTAAATCCGGGACCACATAAATGAAGTAGTTCACAACAGAAAGATGAAGTACGAGCCATCACCTTGTGTTAGCCTGTAGCTATTTATAAATTGTTTACTTTGTGTACAGTAAGTTAAGGGAACCAAACAAGTCTTCCTATAGCGCTGCTCTGTCCATGACAGAGAGTGTATTAAACCCTGTTGAAGCTCAGCTTTATTTGGCTTCTATAAAGCGTTTTCCTAGTGACTACACACTGGTGGGATATTGTAGCCAAGACTGATGGTTTTACAGGATCTAGACATCATTTGTACTTTATGAATCAGCATGATAATTAGAACAACGGTTTAACAGGCGGAAATTGTTTTATACACTGATGGTGTTTTTCAAAATACACCAGTGACTGACCTTCTAGACCAGAGAGTGGGGCTGATGTGTGATTTACTACGTAATATAGCCAAGATGTTATCGACATCTTCTGCTTTATGTATATTGTAAATTCAAATTCAAGCTTTATTTTTGTTAAATCATCATGTCATCATTGTTCACTTTATCACAGAGAGCAGAATTTGTATTTTAAAATGACAGCACCTGATTAGTGGGCATCATTTATGGAGATGAAGGGCTTAAATAAGAAAACAAAACGTTTTCGTTTGTCACGTTGAAACTCGTTGCAGG